GCTCAACGTGCTAACTCGCTGTTAATCAACCAGCTAATTAATACACGGACGTCACCTGACGAGCGGTGTTGCTAACTCTACAGCTACTCGTAATAAATAATACTTGCTCGGGTGTTCCAGGAGAAATCGCCAAGTACGAGTCACAGGAAAGCAGCAAATATATTTATTCAAAACGCTGGAGTTATGGAGTTTGGCGACATGCGATGGACTGAGGAGATGGAGTAGCACTCACGCACACGCGGACACACGTAGGAGAGAATGTTAAGATGCGGGACACGTTAGCTTTTCACTGTCAGTGGGAACCACGGTTGGTTTTGAAACACTCTCGAAGCGTGTCAAAACAAATCAGCTTGCAAAGCACCAGCCCATGTAGGAACACATGAAGCTAAATGTGATGGGTGAAGCATATTGTTAAAAGTAGATATATATATATATATATTAAAAAAAGTAGGAGGGGAATGAAGAGAGAGGAGGAGAGGAGGAGGAGGAGACAAAGAGAGGGGTTTGCCAACCTATAGTAGGCTGAGTGGTAATTGAAGAGTTTGATTCCGAACGTAACATTTTACTCCCGTGATGATGAACTAGAAAAAATGACACAGGACATGGGTCACATTAAAGAAAATCGTTAGCAGGAGAAGAAATCAAGTACAGCAGCTGCGTATGCGAGAGACGGGGGCGCCGGCAAACACAGGACTGGGGGCAGCGGCCGTCTCGGGGTTTTGGGGGGGTCCCAAAGGAAGCGGCGCTTGGGCGCCCCATGGGTACTGGGGTACGGGTGTTTATCTGCTGATACGGAGCAGTACAGGCTGAAACCACCTCCGGTGGTGAGGTCCAACACTTCTAGAGCTGCTTAGGACAACAGTTCTCTGTGATTTATCTGCGCTCACAGGAAGCCCTTGGTGGAAATGGGGATTTGCTGGGTGTAGTGCTTAAGGAATGAACCTGTGGCACTGCCATCCCTGACCTCAGCAGCACTTGGACTGGGTACCAACATCAGCATCTGGGTGGTTTCACAGCAGTCTTCATTCCGTCAGACTCGCTGTGCTGATTCACTCATCTGCCCATGTATTTCCCACCAAATAGGAATGAAGTACTAAGGAAAACACTACAGATACACACAGGTTTACTAAAGAGGGGATAAAGCTCCAAAGGATTGTGAATCTAAAGATGGCAATAAGGGATTCCAACAGATTAATTAGCCAATTATTAAGTATTTTATCTCCTGGTGTCAACCCAAGTAGGAATTGCAACAGCCTACCTGTCAACAGGCCAGGAAAAACGTTTGGGATACATCAAAACCTATCAAGTTAACCCTTCAATGAAGTCAGCGTTTTGAGGCACGTTTCATTTCCCACTATTTTTGAGGAACAGGAATAAAAAGCTATAAAATAAGGACGGTTCTGCAGCCATAAATGACTTTCCTATAATAGTGGGTGCAGAATCAGGTGCTAAATTCCAGTTAAGACCTGTGGTCCAACACCAATAAATGCAATATTACTGTTGCATCTCTTTAGTAAGTGATGTATCACAGAATAAAATGGGTTTGGTTGGAAAAGACCTTTAAGATCACCGAGTCCAACCATCGATCCAGCCCTAAGTCCACCACCGGAGCACGTCCCTAAGCACGACAACTCCTCATCTGTTGAACCCCTCTGCGATGGGGACTCCACCGTGGGCAGCCCCTTCCCGTGCTTGGCCACTCCTGCAGTTGTGCAATGGGTTGGTAAGCAAATGGACTATTTCTAATAGTGACAACAACCTCACAGGTGTCACTACAAGATTACGACAGCTCTTTTAAGATACTATGGTAAGAAGTTTTATGGCACCTTTTCTGCCTGTGGACAAAGGTTTCTAGGCATCAGTGCACACAGTCAGTCCGTGTGGGGTTTTGTGGTAGCTTCTCTTTTTGGATTTCAGGGCGTTTTGTGGTAGTTTCTTTCTGAATTCACCACCCTTGCATTGGCAAGACAACTGCTATAAGCACAAGCTCTCCCTCTCAAGGTCTGCACTGAGCTGTTCATAAACCCTGACCCCAAAGCAGGTGGTGTCAGGGCTGACAGTGGTGCTGGTCATGTACCAGGACAGAAAGGGTGGCACCAAGAGGATGGAGACTCCCTTGAACAAGGAGTCACGGGGAAAAGATGAGGGGTGATGGACACGAGTTGTGTCTGGAGAGATTCCCATTGAACTGCAGAAGAAATGTTTTTACCATGAGATCAATCAGACATTGGAACAATCTATGAGGTACTGGAATAATCCATCAGTGAGATATTGGGATAATCCATTAATGACATATTGGGATAATCCATCAATGAGACATTGGAATAATCTATCAATGAGATATTGGAATAATCCATCAATGAGATATTGGAATAATCTATCAGTGAGATATTGGGATAATCTATCAATGAGATATTGGGATAATCCATCAATGAGACATTGGAATAATCTATCAATGAGATATTGGAATAATCTGTCAATGAGATATTGGGATAATCTACCAATGAGACATTGGGATAATCTCCCAGGGGAAGTGGTGAATCCCCCTACACTGGTCAGTTTTAGGACAGGGGCTGACTCATCTCATTTAAACTCTACTTTTACCTGGAGAGGCTGGGCTGGATGATTCCCGTGGCCCCTTCCAACCTGGGATTCTGTGACTCTATGGCTCTAGGTCTGCAGGACAGTGATGTCTCTGCCTCTCAACTCGCCCTGTGCCTTCCCATGCTCCTACAGCAGTGGCTGTGACTCCACAGAGCCCCCGAGCAGTGAAAATGCAGCGAGTTCAGTGCTGCTCACCCACAGGATGACCCAGCGACAGCACATCCGCTCACTCCCAACACAACTACTGCACTTGCTGCTGTTGGACTGCTCCAGGGACTCTTCTGTCTCCCACCCCCTTCTCTCCTATCTCCAAGGGCTCCCCAGGAGCAGAGCCCACGGTGTGGCCCTGTGCTGACCACAGTGTATACGACTCAGTGTCCTGGGGGCACAGGGACAGAGTCCCCCGCTCCACCACAGCACAAAGTGCTCCTCACCAGAGCGTTTACACACGTCCAGGGCTCTGCCAAGGCTTCTGGGGACGCCGCCAACCAACAGACGGGGCTGCAGCGGCAGGGCCTGAAAGCCTTGGTGCAGCCGCTGGCCAAGGAACGGTTTGTGTGTTGTTAATTCAATTCCCTAATTTTGATTTATTGCCCTAAAACCTCTCCCTTGCCCAGGAGGTGCTATTGGTCGTGTGTGTGTGCTGCTTCTGCCAGGTCACACCAGCAGCTTACACACTGTCAGCTCCATCTGGGCTACGTTCAACCCTTAACGATGCTGCTCCAGCGCTGGAGGAACGGTGCCGAGGACACCACAGCTACTCCAGACGTACATCAGCGCGAGTGAAGAGATCTCAACCACGGCACTTAGATCTACCACAACAGATCACTACGTGACACTGAGTGAGGTGACGTTTACACCACTGGCATCTGACAAGATTCCATCTCTGTTTGAGACAGTGAACGGTGACCGTGCCCCGGCGATGATCCCGTTTTAACAGCGGTGCTACGTACCCCTGCAGGGATCGTTCTTCACCAGGAACTCGTCCAGCGCCATCCAGCCCCCTCCGACGCGAACCATCACCGTGCTCCTCAGGATGCGAACGAGGCGCAGCTGCTGGGAGTCACCGAACTGCAACGAGAACCAAACCACGGCCTGAGGTTCTCTCTCAGCCGCTCAGGATCGGTTCGACACCGACGGGTTAAAAATCAGACACTTAAAAAAGCTTACTTTGGTATTTAATCATTAGTAAACGCTAACGAAATCAGATTTGTTGATGCGGATTATTAAAGCTGTTAAAAGATTTCAAATCGGATGCCGCTGCACGAATCCGAAGGAGATGGCAGGATGGTAAGGGGGGAAAAAAAATAAATCTCAGGCTTAATTTTATGCTCGATTCTCAAATATCTGAGCTCAAAAAGGAAGCAAAATCAGCAACACGTTATTTAATCGGTTACGATCCGCGGTTGTGCGAATGAAGGAAGATTTGTTTGCGTTATCTCACTGTTAAATGCTCAGCCAACGCTCTTCTGCAGCAGTTCAGTTTGAATTATGCCAGCTGAAAGGAAGGCAGCGCCGCTTTAAGCGACCAGGGCTGGAAATCGGAGGCATCAGGAGTGCTGCACACTCGCTGCTGTTAACTGGCTCATCTAACGAGGTCCTTCAGGCACAGACACCGCTCACCCACAGCAAGGTGCGTGTGGGGCAGGGAGTACTGAGGCAGCAATGACTGCTCGCTGTGATTATTGACTGTCCTTGTAGGAACCCGTCACTGCTCTGTCTACACGTGGAGGTTCTGCACAACACCCGGTTTCACGCTGGTTCTTGCACCCAACCCTTTTTCCTTTGGGCTGACGGCCGAGCCTCACCCATGGTTTGCTCCCAAAACCTGTGCAGTTCAAGCCCGTGCATGGTATCGCCACTCAAACCGGATCACAGGAAGCACCGACCCACGATCTCATGGCAAATAACCAAACCCAGCGCTTTTCACCCCCCAAAATCTGTATGCGGTGGCCAGCTCTCCAGGCCAGGTGCAGTGCTCTCACACACAGACATGCAGAGCACTGCTGAACTAGCAGGAATTCACATCGCCTTTCGTGGGACCCACGGAGAGGGCTGGCCACAGCTCAACCGTCCCTGCTTGCTTCAGATGCAAACCACACAAACGTGCTCCCTGCATGACGTGGTTGTTCGGTGCCACTTCAGCCCAAAAGAGAACACATTTTTTTAAGGAGTATTACTTTTAGGAACCAAACAAGAGCAAAACTTGCTGCTTAATTCAATAACAGTTTTGAAATGGCCTTAAAATTGATGCTGTTTATTTTCACTGGCTCGTTCCTACAGAGGATTTTCTGCAGAGGTTCTGAAGATGCTATTTTTTTTTCCCTCTTTTATTTCTTCCCCATCTGAGCTCAACTCTTCAGTGAGGCCCCAAGGACGGGGTCAGACACAGCATCCTCTGGAAACTAACTGGGATTAGCACAGCAAATCAGACCCAGCAGCACAGGCGCCTCCCAAGGCATTTGGCCGCTCTGCACCAGCGCCATGCTCTCCGAAAATGCCGTGTTCCTCCCAGATCCCAAAGTACCGACGGCAGGCAGGAGGATTAACATCATCTCCGATGCTCCTCTCAAACACAGGCTTGTTCTACATGGGGAAAACATCTACAATTATTACTCAGATACGCTGCTTGAGGCACGTGGCAAGATTATCCTCTGCGCTTGCTTCTACGCTGCAACGGGCTTGGTTCAACATCTCTGGATGTAAAAGGGCTACTGCTGTTAACAGCAGCATTTATGGAATGGATTGTAGATACTACTGCCCTTAGGAGAGCCTGAGTAAGATACTACTGGTAGCAGGTGTGCCTTCCTACTGGGCAAGCATCACTTAACCACTCTGGAAGCTGCGTATCAGTAGGTAATGCAGGAGCAAGCACTGTTTTCAGTGCTCAGTGCCCATGGTTATCAGTGGTCAGTGCCCATGGTTATCAGTGGTCAGTGCCCATGGTTATCAGTGGTCAGTGTCAATGGCTATCAGTGGTCAGTGCCCATGGTTATCAGTGGTCAGTGTCAATGGTTATCAGTGGTCAGTGCCCATGGTTATCAGTGGTCAGTGTCAATGGTTATCAGTGGTTATTACCAATGGTTATCAGTGGTCAGTGCCCATGGTTATCAGTGGTCAGTGCCCATGGTTATCAGTGGTCAGTGTCAATGGCTATCAGTGGTTAGTGTCAATGGTTATCAGTGGTCAGTGCCCATGGTTATCAGTGGTTAGTACCCATGGTTATTGGTGTCTGCCCTGCACCACTGCGGGGCTCACTGACCACCCAGACAACAAAAAACACCCCTAAATGCAGCTCCAACACAGCACGGAGCTGTCAGGGCTCTTGGAAACCCTCTGGATGGTCTAAACTGGAAGAGCAGGTTTAATTTGCCTGTTTCCAAAACATGTATCTGACTATTCACTGCGCTAGTTTATAGAACACCAACCACCAGCCAGGTTCTTCATCAGTCTGCCTGACTGCACAGGGATTATTGTTTGTTCTGAAAAGGGAAGCGTTCTTCACCTAATTTGCCATTCGTGATGCGGCACCGGGGTCTGCGTTCACTGTGATGAACCTTTAATCCCACAGCCTAAAGAAATACAGCACCGAATTTTGAAGCATTCAGGTAGAAAACTGAAAGCCCATGACATAAATAGCAATTCTGACATTGCAATTTAAATGCTCAAGGTGGTTTTTTTCCCGCTGTGGGAATTGCTGCTGACCGTGATCTGGTTCCTTTAAAAGTAATCTCCTTAATGAGGAAAATGGCCAAAGAAAGCGGGTGAGGGATTGGAGGAGGGATCCTGAGGGCAGGACGGCTCCACAGCATTTAAAGCAACACCACAGCTGACCAGCAATGGATTAGCCGAGATGAAAGAATGGCGAGAAGACTGACCATTGCAAGCTTAAATCACTACGCGTTAGAAAAAAAAGAAAGAAAATTAAAACAAATGAAACTTCATAGCACATTCCACTGGTTTATACCTGATTTCCCAGGAAGAACTGATAAAAAAAATGAAAAATGGAAGAAAGACACGATTAGTTCACAGCAATTCTCGACGTGACTCTAGAACATGCACACAACACATCAGACAGCCTAGAGCAGTGTCTGCTGCAGAGACCAGCAGGCAGCTGCCGCCGGAGATTAACACTGCAAACACCCACGGCCTCTGCTTCCTTCCCAGCGCTGTTCCTGTGGCCTTTACAACAATCCACGTGTGTTTAGTAAACTCTCTTAGTCAAATATTGTGTATTTTATCTGAAATGGTTCTGGTTATTGACTCTCAGGGCAGCAGATCTTTCTCTACAACGTTTTATCTAGTTTTCTGTGGTCTAAAACTGCTCTAAACCTGACCCATTTCTTGTACCTCTTCAGAAAGAACAGTGTGCTCCAGTGAGTGACAAGGGGGGATAACAGTGACCGAATGCCCTCTGGTAAAAGGTTTTTGAAGTACAACACAGGCAAATATCCCTACATTTAAGAAACTAATAGAAAATCAGCTACAGTTTAAACACTTCAGGGTATCCAGGCAGAGAGATTGGCTTTTAAGGAGCTGCTGTGTGTACGTGTGTGTGTGTGTGTCCATATGCATGCACCCAGCTTTTTAAAATTCCCAGACATCTGAAAACGGTTTCAGTGAAAATAAACACAAGCAGCTGCATTTCCCCATCTTTTTAGCCTGTATGTTCTAACAAGAAAAAAACAACCCATAAAACTTAAACAAGTTTAAAATGAGAAAACATAAAATTGTCACACAAAATTCCTGTAAATGACTATGGCCTAATTCCTTGTACAACCACATCGTACAATCTCTAAGCTGAAAGAGCCAAGGAGGCGCTTAGGAGACTTACCCTGTACTTGTTATCCCCAATCTGTTCCACTTGGAAACGTTTTGCACATTTACACTTGGCTACCTGCCTCGTGACCTGCAAAAAAACCACAGCCGAACCGTTACTGCCAGTGCCACATCTCCCAGTATCTGTGTAACCCGTCTACTTCAGGTTGTACAGGAGGGAAATGCAATTCATCATTGAAGAAGATGATCCCGACAGCCCAGAGTGAAGCAGAGCAGGGAACGTACCTCGTCTTCGATTTTGTCAGCGTCCGTCAGGGGTTTGTACGCGTCCTTGTTCGGATGGAGAGCGGCCACGAACTCGTAGTAGTCAATGTACCCGTCCCCGTCCCTGTCGAAGATGTCTGCGACAGCGCTCATCTCCAGCCGGCTCGTGGGGAACTCTGCGAGACAAGACGGCAAAAGGGAAGGGGTTTGGGGCTTCAACCCCATTCCGGTGAAAGACTTGAGCACAACGGTTAAAAGGTTTTAGGCACGAGGTGACAGACAACGCTTTTCAGAACACCAAGGATGTTCAGCAGAGTGGAGGAATCTTTCTGGAGAAACAAGCTGCATCTATTCTACGTAAGTTCTTCGATAAGAATCCTATGATCACATCACCTGGTTTGGAAAATCGTGTGTTTTATAACTTACGTGTTACTGTTCTAATGAATGAAAAGGAATTGCTGAAGTGGCTGGTGTACCATGGGAATGACAATCCCAGTCCAGTAAGTGGTAATTAGCCAATAACATAAATAAAATAATCTGATTCACCATGTGAAATAACTAGAAACAGTCTCTAGAATCTAGAAATACTGTCGAGTAAAATAATTACAGCTTAAATTAATCATGATTAATGACTTCAAGCAGGAAACCTGTGACTTTCTCCCACAATAAACGGCACAAGCTACATTGACAATGAGACCTCATGAGGTGCCTGTCCCAAGTTCAACGCTGAGTTAATGTGACAACTCACTTGAAGAGAGGATTCCGTCGATGAATTCCTGCCTCGTTATCTTGCCATCCTGATCTTTATCGATCCTCCTGAAGAAGTCCATCACACGGGACTTCTTATGGTTCATCCACCGCATGTATTTCTTCCTCCAAATATCAAAATCAAAGTTGGCGAATTCTCTCAGCTTAATAAAACAAGAGAAGGAAAGTTTTTCAGTTGAAATCAATCAACCCAGAAAAGCAATGAGACAGACACAATTTGCATTCTTTTGAATAACCTCTGAGGGCCTATATAAAAATTTGAAACATCTTAACTCATGCTCAAAATGAGGAGGTGTCCTGGTTTGAGCTGAACAGAACTGAT